GGCGGTACATGTATTCCGTTACTCCCCAACACTGCTTATAATTCAAAACAATATTCATGGAAAAATTGTTCCAATAATTATAACTACATTGTATGCTAACTTTGCACCATGCTTGGATTCCAACTTAGTATGCCTAATATGCCTTTTGTGATTCCATTAAGCTGTAATGTTGCTTCAGAGTTCCTATGCAAAAGTGTTTGAAAATACATTTGAACTTACCAGTAAAGGAGATTGAAATTTATTATCATTATTAAATATATATATATCATTTGTGCTTTATCTCAGTGGTGTCAACTTAAAAGTCTCCATCCAAGCTTCAGGACTTGCCAACATCACTGTATTGCAGCAGAAGAAAGGTAAAGTCCAATTTTTACCAGCATTATAAATTACTCAATAAATAAATTGAAAGTGAATTTTCTGTTGGCTGTTAATGATATACAAACATTTGTAAATCATTTCTATCTTGTTTAGATAGTGTAGATAGATGTGGCCATTTTTCATGGTTCCTGGCTTTCAGACACAGATTTGGGGGGTTTTCGTTAGCTTTGCATTTTGTGGCTATCCATGTGTCTTGGTCCTGGGTCTCTGACTCAGCATTTTCTGTGTTTAGTCTTTGTATTCTTGTTCATGCTTGCATTCACTGTGTGAGCTTCATTATTCCAGGTTTTGGTACTCATTGTAGTCAAATTTGCATTCTCAGGTCTCCTTAAATTATTAGTTTGCTTATCATTTCTCTTGTTTCTGTTGTTTTATGTTCCTCATGCAAACACATGTAACAGATGGATTTAGCTTCTGGTTCTGGAAAATTCAGTTCTATTCAATTTTATTTATGCAGTGCCAAAGGCACTTTATATTCTAAGGCTAAGACCCTACAATAATAGAGAAAACCCAAACAATGGGACAACCCCCTTTATGAGCAAGCACACAGTAGGAAGGAAACACTTTCTTTTAAAAGTTAGAAACCAGAATTAGGGTTAGGGAGGAGCAGCAAAAGGCACGCTGGAGAGCCAGAGATTAATAATAACTAATGATTAAATGCAGAGTGGTGTAAAAGCACATAAAAAGTTAACAGAGGTGAGTAAAGATGAAATCATTAGTCCATGATGGGACACCCACAGCATCCTAGGCCTATTTCAGCATAATTAAAGGAGGGTTCAGGGTCACTTGTTCCAGCCTAACTGTAAACTTTATCAAAAAGGAATGTTTTAAGCCTAATCTTAAAAGTATGATGAATTGGGGAAATACCTGAAACCTGCATTCTTTCTAGGGGACAGCAAGTCCTATAAGTGCACAAGAAAGATGAATCATTTGCACAAAAGTCTATGGGGAAAATCAATATCCTCATTTATTAATGCTCCATTGTGTATATATGAGAGTATTGTCTTGATGCATGCTCAATCATCCAGGTAAGTAAATCCCCAAAAGTATATTCTGTTCATCTGGATGTAGTGTTTTCAGTGGGAGAAACATTTCGTCACTCATCCAAGTGACTTCTTCAGTCTCAGCTGACTGCAGGTTTCCCCAATCTTATAAACAGAACATTTGCATAATGATACTAGATCCACTGAAGGAACAATGGTTTGGGACGTCAGTTCCTTCATCATAATTATGCAAATTCTCATGACCATTGATCAACAACCACTGTCCAAAGACCACTGATCAGTGGCCATGAGTATCCTTTCAAAGAGACTTGGGGAATGAGGTATATTTCCATACCTAATTCACTTACCTCACCTAAGATGAACAGCTTCAAAGAGGCTGGGATACAGTAAGTTAACCATGCAGATAGGTTTTCATATGTGCTCTGTCAGAATATCTACATAGACACACAAGACCATATAGCATGCATTTGAGTATTTTTGTGTATCAAATCTTCTGAAAGATCTCGCTTCCACTTTGCGCCTGGGAGAGAAATCAAATCTTCAGTTTTTACCAATTACTTAGGCATTACTGAGGACAAATTTTGTGGTACATAATTTTAAAATTTATCTTACCCACGGAGGTACCGTGTTCACCAGTTATTTTTGTTTGAAGGATTTAAGTTTGGCAAGAATTATTCTAGGTCTGTGTCGTCTTGTCACTTCCCTCCCAGATGGTGGCCACAATAGAGTGAACAGTGAATTCCATTGTTTTATTATGTGCAACATGTCAAATTGTGAAATTTCTTTACTACAAAATATTCCACAGTGAGCTGTTAATGGTATTATAACAAAAGTTGAAGTGACTGACTTCCATGGTTGAGGAGCTGCATCCAAGCATTACGTCACTAAACAAGTGCAATTCGTAGGTGCGTGGAATTTTTAGCAAAGGAATTCATCTGATAAGAAGACATTTCTTTGAAGTGATCTTGATCAGCGATGGAAGGAGGATACTGTCGCAAGAACTGGATTTGCAGCTCATTTGTTTTAGGGAAGTGTTTTTGTACTGTGAGCCGTGAAATACCTGAAGCTGACAACAGCAGCGCGTCTTAAAAAAAGCTTTCAAATGATGACTTGCTGGGATGTTATCTAAGGGAGAGCATCCTCTGTTTGGACTGAAGTGTCATAACAGCAGTTAGTGGTAATACTACTAAACTACTACTCAGGATATCACTCATCTGCTCTCGTCACAAGAGGCTCAATTGGTGCCACTGGTTTTCACAACTACAGTCATTTTAATACAAAAGCCCCTCATGCCTTTTAAAGGGTTTACATTACAGGACATAAAAATAATCTGTCCATAACAGGTGTTAAAATTAGATGACTACAAACTATAAAATATGACATATTATACTGTTAGAATTAAAAGAAGAGAAGAAAAAAAAACAAGTGCAATTCAGTGTGTGGGATGGATTGGTGTAAAGGGATGGAGTGGTGTGTGTATATACAGTATGTTGGGTTTTTTTTTCTTTTTTACCTTTCAGGTCAGATCTCAAGGCAGCCAGAGGTGATTCTGGAGTCTGGTCCCTCTGGCTATTACTACCAGGGTGTGTGGCGAGCTTTAGGTGGCACCACAGTTTGGCAGTTTAACACTTCCTCAGCCATTACTCAGTGTTTGAGAGGAAAGGTGATTAAAATGTACGGAGACTCCACCATCAGGCAGTGGTTTGAATACTTTAATGGAGCACTATCAGGTAGATACATGCAAAACCTTTCTTGCACCAGTTTGATTTTCTGTACTTTACTTATTCCTTCTGTAATACTTTCAGGTCTCAAGGAGTTTGACCTACATAGTCCTAAGCAAATTGGACCTTTTATTGCCCTGGACTACCCAAATAACATCTTCCTGACGTACCGTTGCCATGGTCCTCCTATCCGGTTTTCGAATGTCCCCATCAGCGAGCTGCATTATATTGCCAATGAGGTAGACAATTTGATTGGAGGCAGCAACACAGTTGTAGTTCTTGGCATTTGGTCACACTTCAGCACTTTCCCCATTCAAGTCTACATCAGACGGCTGCAGAGCATCCGCAGGGCAGTGGTGCGCCTGTTGTCCAGGGCTCCAGAAACACTGGTTGTCATTAGGACTGCAAATCCCAAAGCTTTGAACCTCTATGAGACACTTACTAATAGTGACTGGTACTCACTGCAGAGGGACAAGGTGCTCAGGGCCATGTTCAAAGGATTGAATGTTCATCTGGTGGATGCCTGGGAGATGGTTGTGGCCTACAACCTGCCACACAGCCTCCACCCACAACCTCCCATTATCAAGAACATGATTAATGTTCTCTTGTCCTATATATGCCCTCAAAAGGGTGGCTAGATTTATTTTTTAAAAGACCAGCCACGTATGAGATGGACTGCATTTTAAAAATTGTGGAATTAAAGACATTATTTTACTGTTACTATTCATAATCATCATACTTAATTTTGTAATCATTATCATTAACCATTGCATTAATTCTTATTTCATCAAAAGCATTGATTGAAGCTGTTGGCATTATGTTATAATTTGTATTACTGGTGTTATCATAATCACGTACTAACCCTTTCATTACAGGTGTAGTTGTAATCATTTTATACACACTTTGCATGTCTGTGCTTATTTAAAGAGTTGAAGCTCTGTCAGGTAGTTGAAGGTCGTGAACTTTGTTTGGCGCTATGATCAGACAATCCATGGTGTAAGGGATGTTGAGCTATGGAAAGAACACGCTTGCACAACACATATTTTACATTCTTTTATTAAGCTTTGAGTAGGGGCATTTTGGTAAAACATTTATTCAATAGATCACACATACTTTTAGTTAAGATTATTACACAGACCACCAAGAGCTTCTGTCTGGTAAAAGCTGGGGTGAGGCCGAGTGCGTTGGAGGTCGACACACACACACACAAACAACAGTTAGGCTCATGTTTAGGCTAGGAGTTCGAATAACAGTTTGCAAATTCCTGTAGCTGCAAAATTATGTCTGTGTAAGGGACAGTCTGCTCCAGGAGATGAGAGTCAGCACCTGGCCTCGAGACGGAGAGAAGGCTCTTTTTAAATATGTCAAAAGTCGTCAACATTATTGTCAACATTATTGTATGTGCTTTGTATGTCCTTTGACGCAATGAAGGGGCGTCATAAACAATACCCTGATATAAAATAATTGTTTCTGTAAGGGTGGGGGCAGGTGATTGCTGATGTGTGCAGTGTTCATCTCCCCACACATGTGTGTTCATTAAAATCATTGTTTGACCGAAGCTCTTCTGGACCATTATTGTTTTTTGTGCTCACCCTCAATATCTGAACCCGTAACATTTTGGAGGCTCGTCCGGTGAATTGAGGAGGGAGTGAGTTTGGAGGTTTGGACGGAGAAATCCGGGGTCCAGAGGGCGGTCGGACGCGCAGACACGACCCAGTGATCGAACTGAGTGGACAAAAGCCGGCTTGTTAAAAAGGTAAGGCACATACCTGTTGAATTAATTCCAAAGTGTGCTGATTGGGTAGTGAAATTAAAAGTCCACTCACTAAATCACTGGTAAAGGTCTGTGTTGATTGTGGTGGAAGCTTCATGAAGTTTGAAAGTGACAGTACTGAGTAAAAATTGGGCTGCTAAGAGAAAATAAAGCAGTTGGGCTGCTATGTGAATTTAGTATAATAGGGAATTGGTTATATTGTGGGTTAAAGGCCCCATTGGTCATAAGGTCGGACCTGTGACAGTCATACATTTTTCTGAGGTGTTGATTGTTGTTTCAAAGTACCATAAATTTTTCAAGAACGGCAGTTGGGCTGCTAAGAAGCGCATAGCCCGGAGGTTACGCTCCCTCCTTGTCGCGGACGCGTGGCATTGACCTCTCGGCGAAGAGGGTTAGTTCAGTGTGGCTTAACTGTGGGGTACAGGGCATCCTGGAATAAGCTAGGAGTTAGAGTCTCCTTACCGTTTGGAACGGTGATCTGCGCTTTTTTGGCCAGCAGAAACCGGGTTTTGGGCGTGAAACCCTAACCCAAAACTTCGGGGAAAGCCTTGGCTGTGAAATGCCAAAAATAGAGCTTCAGGCAAAGTTTGGGTTGGTTGACGCTTTTAAATTCAGTTATGGCACTAGAAAAATCGGGCCACCGTCCAGGACGGATACTGGTTAAATCGATCGCAAAAAACTCTGGGAGTTTATCGGTTGGACCGTTACTTTAAATTTGTCAAAATTGTGTAGGTGTTAAGCTGTCAGGCCTGAGAGCGCTTGTAAATATAAGATGTCTTTGTAATATAAAATAAGAGAGGTTGGTGTGAGTGGAGGCTGTGAGTCGAGTTGACAGCGTGCTGCACTGCTGCAGCTATTTTTAGACTGTGTGTGTAAATGCAAATGAGGAGGGCTGCTTCCTCCTGCTTTCTGCTTAGAGGGTTATTGAGTTCCATAACGATTGTTTGCAAATATTGTTAAATGCCTGTAATTAAGATGCTGTTTCTGCTTATTACAATAGTGTAGATAGAGTTTGGTTTCATTATAGCAATACATGAGTGGTGACGGCGCTGGAAATAAAATAGAGAAACTGTTTATACTTCAGACCAGCGTTTAGGCTCAAGGATCTAAAGTGGTTGAAGGTTTTGAAAGATAAACAAAGGTCTGGGGCATATTTAATTTGTGATGCTAAGTGGGGTGTTTTAAAGTTTGGAAGTGCTTTTAATTCGAGAAATGCATAAATTCTAGGATAAGAGTTTGAGTTCTTTCTTTTCCTTTTAGTTTGAGAACACATAGATAGATATTTTTGACGAACCCATTTGCTTTTTGATTTTATTATAGGAGACCATCAGGAGAGACTGTTAAATATTATGAGCTGTCTTGATGCAGAGAAAGTGGAGTTTATCATCCTTGATTGTAGGATTGAATGATGCTCTGTCTCTGTGGTCAAGTTCAGACATAGGCTTTAAGCAAGTATGAGCCACTGATAACTGTGACAGATTAATGAGCACGGAATAAAGTGGACTTGTTAGGGACAGTTTACTATTAGCCTTGCTAAAATTGAACTTAATTTGTAGGTAAAAACAGACTTTAAAGAAAAATTCTTATTTGAATCTTGGGACAAAATCCAGGTCAGATGCAGTTACATACAAACTAAGGTATGCTTTTTTTTACGTCTTGCCAGATCGAAATTTCACGTGTAGGAGATCTTTTGGAAGTGAATTGTGTTTGTCACGGGGAGACAGAGGAGACACCTTATAACATTTCAGTGTGTGCAGAAGTAGGGGTGTCCGAATCAGACTCCTTTTTGGCTCGTTGTTTTCTTTTATTTCAAGGCTTGGTTGAACTTGGTGAGAACGAAAGTGCCCAAGATTGGGAGCCTTCAGAGGCGGCTCTCCTTCTCTTTTCTCTTTGTGACGCCGTAGAACAAGGGGAGAGTTTTGATATGTCATAGTGTGATTGATTGATTTATGTTTAAAAATAACGGGTTAAGTTGATCTATTTGGTCGGGAGCTCTGTAGCAACAAGTGGTTTTCGCTTGAGTTTCAACACATATAAGCGGTTACCGCTGATAAGCTCAATTATTTTGACCTGATCATAATATATGGTGGGATTAAATGCTCCTTCTGCTTCCGGTGTCCACTGTATTTTATCTTTTAAAGCAAGATTTTTTCCATAGATTAGATTTTGCAGTGGTTGTACCTGTGCCGCATATTCTGGAATCCACGCCGTGGGACTCTCTCCTCGTCTAAGACATAGCTACGTTAAAACAATAAAACAAGGTACGACCTCTCCCCATGCTTCCAGAATGTGGGGGTGGACGCTAAAACACCTTGAAGTGTTACAGGCCCCCTAGGATGAGACATTCTTTCACTATGCCACCAACTAAACACTGATGATTACATGCAGTATTCTACCATATGCAAACTTATATAATTAAAAGATTATACTGACTTCTAAGTACAATTTCCTATTGACAGTAACATGCATTTTCCTTGACAATGATGTCATCGCCTTGTCCATCCTCTTCGGGGATTTCTTGTCCTGAAAATAAAGTAAAGGTTATACTTTCCACACATACAAATCTGCTTGGGGTTCACTCGGATCCCAGTGCAATACATTTTGTCATCAGATGGTTAGAGCAAGGTTTCGTGCCAAGGTACTGATTTTTATTTTTATTTTTTGACAACGCTAACTTATCCAAAAAGAATTTCTATGGTATTGCACCAGGTGGCACACGTCAAGCAGACATCAAAGAAGTATAACAGGAAGAGCAAGTAGGCCTTTGGGTCTCCGGTTGTCCATGTCTGCATCAGAGTATAACTTAGGTTTAACACACGCATATGTATTTACAAACCTAAATATGGAAAGTTGGAACACTGCATAAAATGTCAATACAAAGACAAGTCAATGATTTACAAGGTCTTTAGTCACAATAGAACACAATCTAGATAGAAATCAATCTACCCAGTGAATTGAATTATTGGACTTTGAAGTTTGGTTTATTTAAAGTATCTGTTTGAATCCGGGACCAACCAACAATCACCAACCACCTGAAAGAGAATAGAGCAGCAACTTTGAAATTGAACTTTTAAAATTGTAATTAATAAGAAAACATTGCAGCTGCTTTGCTGATTTTGCCAGTAAAACGATCGCTTTCACTTTATCAGAAATCTTCCTTTCACAACAGGTTAATCAGCAATTACCTTTATGTACACTTTCATGAGCAATTGTTGCAGTTGTATTCATTACTTTGACTTTCCTCTTCAGCAGTTTCAACATGTGAAGTGATTGAAAATGGTTTTGTACCTGGAGATATCAAAGAGTACAATGAACGTGAAATCCTAAACTTTGAACGCAATGCTTTCATGTAGTTCAATCAGCCATGAGGATGATGAACAATTTTTCGAAGATTATCCAGTCTTTCTTTCTTTACAGAGGTTACATGTATCCGTCCACAAGATAGACTTTTGTTCCGCTGGGAGGCGTCTTGGCGTGATGAGACGAAGAAATTGGGTGATACTGTCAGGTACACATGTATATCAGGATACAGGAGGAAAGATGGCGTCACTCGGGCCACATGCACCAGAGATGGATGGGAACCAAATCCACTTTGTGAAGGTATGGTGGAGTTTAGTTCACTTTTCTTCTACTTCAGATATGATCTCTTTAATTTCCATATTTCAGAAAACAGGACAGAAAATAATCTTTCTTGAATTGAAAGGTATCTTTGGTCAAACAGAAGCTTCAAAGGCTCCTCCCAATAAAATCCTTCATTCATACAGTAAGAAAGTGGGAGCCAGCTATATAGAAATTAGAGACTCTGTGTGATAGTTCGTAGTGAGAGAAAATAGTAATAACATTCATTTGCATTTTTTGTGTATT